TGTGGAGGTTAGAGAGTACATGGAGCTAGGGCATGTGGAAAAGCGCTTCGCCCCCTTATCCTCCCGCGGGTAGGTGGGGCTGCGGCGTCTCCTCTGCCGGTGGGCTATTTTGCATTTATTTACTGACGTAGACTTGCGTTTTAAAGAACGAATGACACAATACACAAGAGTTTTTCCACTATAGCTTGGCCAGTTCAAGGAGAAGACGTACACTACCGTTAACTGGGGAAGTTAAATGATGTGTGTAGCTCCCAGGATGTGCTAGGGCCTTGGCTTCACGACTTCTCGTCTGCATGCACTCTGCTGCTTGTGATTAATAAGGAGATGCCTGCTTGCCTGGAAGTGCGGCGTAGTTCCTATAATAGCCTCGGTCACAGGAAATTAGAGATGAGATGTACATCTGAAAGTCAGAGACCGACTTTTTGGTTGTCAAAAAGGGAATGCCTTTCCCAGAAATGAGCAGCAGGCCAGGTACTCGCAATATTTTAGAGTATTTTGGAGCTTTACCTTTATGGTACATTATTACTATCTCAGGCATTTAAGTTATTAGGAATAAAAAGTTGCACAGAGTGAAATGCATACTGAAATCTTAATGGGTCTGAATCCTGGAAGGCTCTGTGAGGGTATGAGCAAGAGACATTAAAAGCCAGCTCTTAATGTCTATCACATTTTTTGTATCACACAAAACCTGGAATTGTTTCAGAATCCCTACATTAAGTTAGTTTGACAAAATACATTTAAATCGTGCAGGTGGAAGTCCTAAAAATGTATCAGTAGCAAGTAATCCTAAACTAACTTCTTTTTATACAGAGATGCTGAAAAACAAAAAAAACTGAAAATCAGAATATATTAAGTCATGTCTTTAAGTCAGGCCAAACAAACTTCTATGAGAAGACTTAATTTACACGTTTATTTACAGTTTGAAAAGAAAAACATTCCCTTGCAACCTCTCAAAATATTTACACTGTGTCCTGAAGTTAGAAGACTGCTTCTGCACATTGACATACCAAAAGTGAATCAAATTCCATATACACAAAGTACATGCACAAGGTTTCCAGGTAGCAGAATTAAAAAAGAAACACTTGTACAGTATAACTGAAGCTTCAGATCAAATCTCTCAAATTAAAAATGCAGTAAATTACGTAGAAATATCTATAATTACCAATTGCAGTTTATCAACTCTAAAGAACTCCAGTGCAAAGCTGTTGTTTGCATTAGTGAATGTTGCCATCTTGATTCTGCAGTCTTTATGCCCCCAAGCATAAAAAAGTGGTAATGTGCAAGGATTGCAGAAGTATCAAATCTTAATTGAAATATTCTAAAGCATGGACTTCCTCAAAAGGAAATTATTGCCTGTTTCATTGTATTCCTCTAAGAAAATTTCATAGGACATTAATACCAATAGACAGATTTTTCTTTTTGTGAGTTGTATATTTCTCTATGAAATCAGTTTTAAATTAAGGGCTTACAAAGCTTCCTGGAATGAAGGCTTTTTTCTCTCTAATTTTAAAATAATTCCTAGCTTTTTGTGGTATACACGTAAGTAGTGGTGAAAGTGGTGCATCAGCCATACCTGGAGAGAGAGACAGATGATTATAGCTTAAGTCAACCAATATTTAGCATTCATAACTGTTATAAAACTAAAAAGTATCTATGTACTAACTAGTAACTCTAAGAACAAACCAGTATGCATTTAGACACAAGTTTTTATAGTGGTAACATTTTTATTCTACTAAATTTCTCTGAACAAACTAAGAAGGTTCTCCCTTACGCAAGAAACAAGCAGAATGTAATATGACAAATCTATTTAACTGTGGACTTTTCCATTTTATAGAGTAGGAACACTTACCCGCTGGTGCCAAGGATTTCAGAGATTCTAAGAGATGTGGACTAGAAAACTTGACCAGACATCTGAATGGTTCTCTTTTATCCAAAACATCCATTTTAGGATCACTTCTAAACATCGTCTCAAGCTGTTAGCACAAAATTTAACCAAGGAATATAAGCAATGAATAGGTTTTATTTATGTTATTATTTAAACATAACAATAAAAATGTACTATGCAATAAGACTGTATCTTACTTGTCTGTTACTTGTAATGTTAACATGATTCCAGATGGAAGAATATTTTAATAAAATTAGAGGGTGCCACCATGTGGTAAACAGTTTTCTGCTGAAAGAGGCAGCATGTTCAGTAATATTTTAAAACATTAAGTATTTCTTAGAATTTCCAATATATCTGGTCAGATAAAATCCATACATCATCCAAGAAGTTAAATTATGCTATTATATTTAGTGTGAGCTTTGTGTGTACTTCAAATAACCCTAATTTCTCATGCTTCAACACACTACTGGTGTAAGTCTACCTTTATTACAAAAATAAGTCAAAATGCCTAGTTCACAAGGCTGAAAGACTGAAATATGATCTAGGATTCTGACCAAATCCCAGTGCAAATCCGTTTCTTAAAGATACTTTTATCTAAATTATTTTCAAATGCCCTCCCCAAAAGTTTTTTTAAAAAACAACTCTTATTTCTTCAATTTGCAATTCAATGTAGCTTCCACTACATTAAAATTATTACAAAATCCAAAATTTGTTGGTTTTACTACCTTATATTGTGCAAATTCAAGTTTTGGTTGGGGACCATCACCAAAAACTTCCCGATTCACACTCTGTATTCTCTCTTTCTCATTTTTGTTTTCTTGAACTATCCTTAAATCTGATGCAGGGGAAAAGAGTAGGGAAGAGAAGGAAAAAAAAAAACAGACAACTTTGTCAGCTGATACAATACTGTTTTTCTGATCAGATTATTCCAGTGAAAATCTGAAAATAATACTTTTAAAGAATTCCTCACAATCTTTCTTTCATAAGCTAGTTGTCTCCATCATTTACATTTTCAGTTCTTACCAAGAGAAAAACCCAAGCTGAAATATATATTCACTATATGAAATAGTGGGCATTGAGTATTTTTGGTTTCATAACTGTGTCCAATGACAGCACTCAGGAAATACTTCTCCTAGCAATAGCCAGTATTATGGTATCCCTCCAGGGATGGATAATACCATGTGAATGTAACATATGTACATTTCTTGTTATGAATCTTGCTTCATAAGCCAGCAGTAATGATGTTCAAACTGCCGTTTAATTTGAAATACACATACCACTTTCTGGTGCTACTTTTCTTTCTTGTAGAGGTCTTGGATAATAACTTTGGAAGTTCTAAACAGAGAGAAAAAAAAAAGGGCGTAGCTGAAAAGAACTTTCCATATCTCTTTTTACTTCTCATTCTGCAAGCGAGTATTCTTCCAACTTTTGATAATTACTGGACGTTAGAAAGCCTAGTTTTATTTTGAGAAAAGAATGCCTGTCCTATGATATTTGTGAACATTTCCTTGTTTAAAAGTTTTATATGGACAAGGAAGATAAGTGACCATTCTAATAGCCTTTGGCTCATTACTCTAGGAAGCCTAGTGAACTGATGCTAAAAAAATCCTAGGACTGAATTGTTCATACAATTTTTAGACCAAGTTTAACCATCAGGAATAACAATAATAAAGAGTAGATGGGATACCAAGTAATTACATCTCCATTGTAATGTTACCTTAATGAAAGGCTGTGCACCTCAGTAGTTCAATATTATTTTAACTTGATGGTCTCTCGAAAGAGGTGAACTTTCCCCCCTGCCTGGAGGGTGAGAACTAGGCCTGAAACAAAAAGCAAGACTTATCTTAGGATGTACTTGTGGAGTGGCTCACCTGGCTATATCTCTTAAACACAATATCTTTAAGGGAGTTTAAAGAATGACCTCGAAGCTCCATTTCACGGATGTCACGGTAATTGGCAGCAACAACCAGGGCCTTTAAATAAAAATTGAAATTGTTCTTAACAGTCTTAATCATCACAGTGTTTATAATATGGAAAAGTATAGCATTTCTAGACATTGCAATGTTTTTGTTTCAGGGGAAGCAACTGCCCTTTAACTAGAAAGAGTCTCATGTCTGAAAAAATGTTGAACAGACTGTTATTAAGCTTAGATTAATATTTAAAAGCATTCACAGGATTAACCAGATAAGCCCTATTGCCTTATCAGCTGAAAAATAAAGAAATAAACAGACAATGAAATAATTAAATTACTAGTATGGAAGTGTGCTAAATAGAGAAAAAAAGACCACCAACACTGATCACCATGAGCTGACAGAAAATGTCTTTTAAAACGAATTAATAGCATTCCCTGATGAGCTAATATGTTTAGTTCTTGAAGTTAACTGTGCTGACGGAATATTCTTCAACTTCTATGAGACAATTTAACCAAATACTGCTTGACACTTAAGAAATTAGAACAATTCAAGGTCAGCAAAAATCCCAGTAAACTGAATTTATTCATGGTGCACCATTCCAAAGGTCAGAAAGATTGATTTTATCACAAGCTAAGGGAAAAAAAATGACTATGTAAATTAATAAATTATGTTAAGTGATGAATTTTTACCCCTCCTCTTAAAAGCAAACACAATTATAGCTCTACATGACCGTGGTGAAGTCAGGGTCTATGCAGCATTATTTGGTACCTGACATAGCAGAGGCAAGTTGCTCTTAAGCACTGAGGCAGAAATGAAGACATAGGGAGTCTGTGAATGGTACACAACATAGCTGGTCTTGTACTGGTTTGGTTTTGTATAAGGTGTTCCCCAGGCAATTCTAATCCAGATTGCATTATCCTCGTATTCTCTAAAGTTGATGGTGACCTAATAGAAAAAGAAAAGCTTTGACTTACCAGCACAGTCAGGTGTCCATGAAGATTTTGTTATCTCTTAACCGTGTGTTCACAAGACCCAAAATTTAGTACAGCACTGCTTGAATAAGAAACAAATCCCACTAGTGTGGTCAGGACTGTATTTAAATCTGATTTCCACAGAAAAATGATAACCTCACAAACTGAAAAAAAAATTACCTTTCAAACTCTAACATGACTTTTCTTCCTGTTGATATATATTTCCTTCTGAAGGGCAAAAATAAAAATAGCTTATTACAAAAGCCTTGATTTCTCTTTTGGGAAAATAACACCACAAAAAAAAGGTGTCTATTTAGGTGGAGGGCTAGTGGCAATATTTCCAGTATGTCCAATTTTTGAGAAACTAAACTTTTGATCAACTTGTGATTCTAGACCTGAATATAATATTTATCACTGCTCAAGAATACACAATCAGAAACCTGAAGAAGATTCCATTTCCTGTTCTTGTAGATTTGCTCCTCAGTTACTTCTTTCTACCTTGACCTAATCTGGGTGACTTAAGAGTGGGAAAACTTCCTTTAAAAACAAACAAACCCAAAACTCTCCATTTGACTAAGGCACACATCGCCAAGTCTTTAGTCCAACTAGGTCATAAACTGTTTAAATTGCTAGGCCAATATCACTTTGAGAAGTTTTTGCCTTTTTTTTTTAAATAAAAATATTGCAAAACTTTATTACAATAGTTGTATGAACTACAGCTGATTACCTGTTAGTCTGACTTGTATCTGTTGCCCTCTACTGTTGTCAGTGGGAATCCTTTGTGCATCAAGAAGTGACAAAGCTAACTAGGCAGAGGCATCTTCTATTACCTTGCTTAAATGAAGCTGGTGAGCTAAAGCAAGAAAAGGCTTCTGCAAATTGCTTAGTAAAAAAGTGAGATGATAGTATTTCCTTTCCATTTTTTTCTTACCACGCTCATTTCTGTAGTCTAGAAACTGCTTCTTGCTATTGACAGTGGTCTTTCAGTTGTTATAATGTAACGAAATACCAGGGCCAAGTTCTCACAGCCATCACAAACTATCATTTCAAAGCCAGAACTGGAAGGAAATGGATACAATTTTGCTACTAATCTAAGTCACAATAACTGAACTTCCTTGTCCTGCTTACTGGCTACTTCAAATTCTCTGTATACTGTTTGATCTCATTTTTGTTGTTTGTGTATTGTTATTGGGTAACAGGACAAAGCAATATCAACTTACCTAGGCAACACCTACACTCAAACAGGGCAAAGATTTGACAGAAAACATAAACATACTGCCTTTCATGAAGCCAGTAATATTTTAAGGCAAACTTACAATTTATTTCACTCCAGCATAAAGTTGCTAGAACAGATATGCAATACATTTTTCCTATTTCACATGCAGTTCCTACCATTACCAAATGAATAATCCCATTTAATTTTTGATGCAGACTGTAAGAAAAAAAAACCCACCTCTCTAAAGTTATGAAAACAATCTGTTGATGCCAGAGCTGTGTAAGAAATTTAGAATGGATATATTCTTACATTTTTCAAGGCTGACCGAAGCCGTCTTTTAAATTTTTTTTTGAAATCCATTAAGTCAAAAAATGCCGTTTCTTCCCCTGTTACACAAAAAAAAAGAAACAAGAATTGTGTTTAAAAGAACTAGTTCAGAAATGTTTTTAGTTTTGCTGAAATAAAATTAAGCAGACAAAGCTGAAGTTGCATGGCCTTATACAAAAAGCTGTATATTAAATTTCTGCATCATTATTGCAATATAGAGAAAAGTTTAATATTTAACTAGTAGTAAATATTTTCTAATAATTGCTTGGAAAGTTAATAGAAAATATTCTAAAAACATTAAAGATCTCTCAATTGAAAAATCCATACTAGACTATAGTTAAATGTTAAAGATATCTCCACTGAAAAAATCCATACCAGACTATATTTGCATTTAAAATGTACGATATGAGGCAGCACTGCAATAAGTTACTGAGAACTGTGAGATTACAGTAAGGAAAGATATTTTACCTGTTTTGTTCATCTGGTAAACATGCCACACTCTTTTGTCTGGATAGATGTGGCTGTCTAAGAAAAACAGAGATTGCTCAATAACATAGCATATTATCAAATGGTAATTAAAGGAACAAATAATTTTACAATACTTTTATGACCAGGTTATTTTAAAAAGATTACTTTTGATAATGCAGTATAATTTATTGAGCATTCTTAAACTGCCACTTGTAGCAAACCTAAAGGCAAAATATTTTTTTAATAAAAGAGATGCGAAGGTCTTTTGTAATTCAGTTAAGCAACTAATAAAGGGTATCTCTGAGGTTCAATGTCTGAAGAAAGTTTTTACCTAAAATGACCAAAACTCAGTCTAAACTCAAACTAAGAAGTGTAGACTGTTAAAAGAATCCTTGAGATTTAAGCTATTATATAATCAAGTTGTGAATTAATATTGGTGTTGGTAGTTCCAACTGGAGTATTTGCTGACAGTTTTGCCTATATCAGTCCCTATTGGAGCATGATATTGCCGATTTTGAGGTTCAGTGCATACTGGAGACAAACATACCTGTCTACATTTATAAGTGTCTGCTGGCTGTAGCTTACCACAGCTACATCTACTTCGACCTCAGAAGAAGCAAATGTGCTTTGGCGGATTTTGAGCTTTTGAAATTTTTTTCAAAATTTCAGATCCAATAAGATTCATCATCTAAAATGTAATCTGTTTACACCAAATGGATCTGTGCCTCATTAGGGCAATTGTTATGTAATTAAGGGCATTATTAAGTTACTCAGAAAAAATATAAAGGTGTTATTTTTATTCATTTGTTTTACTCACAAATTATATCTAGGACAGCTGCTTGCTTTATGTCTGCAGAATTTTCCTAGAAAGAAGAATAACAGTCCATGGTGAACTGCAGGTCCAGAATGCTCTATCACACTGTTTAATAAGTGAAAAAAATCTCAGTATTGGTAGTTTAAATTACATTGTGCTGAAGTCCACAGCATGTAGACTCTTCTCAAAGACACCACACCCAGTCCTAATGTGCACACAATAGAGTTTTGAAAAATCAATAACAAAAGCTATTTCAGCAAGGTTGAAGTGTTCCTCTGCAGAGGGAGCAGGAAGAATGTTGTCCTTATGGTATGATGTACAAGCAATTAGAAAGTAAAATCAATGGGTATTCGTGACATTATGCAACACTGACTAGTATTTCACTGTCAGGAATTTTAGCTTGCTTAACTCTTCCTTATTTCATCTTTATGGCATGGAAAGATTTTAAAGAAACTTTATGACACTACTTGTTACAGATAAGAAAGTTTCAGAAACAAATGCTATTTTAAAGTATGACATTTGCTATCTTACAAGAATAACGTAACAGATTCTTGCCTGTAGTTTGATCTACAATCTGTGTAATTAGAGTATGAAATTCAAAAGTAATGACACAAAAGGCTATAGAATTTAAGACATACCAGTAATAACTGTATCTATCTGGGTTATGATACTATAAATAAAGACTCCTCCAGGTCAATGTAAAGATTCTTGGTACACCAAAATCAGAGTATGTAAGTAGGAGATCAGAAAACTTTTTTTTTGCTTACTGTATGCAGAATGGAAATAGTTCTGGCCAAGGAAATTTTACAAAAAATTCTGAAAAATCTAAAATATATATGCTAGTACTATCATTGCCCATACTAAATAGATTTAAATTAGCACTATGTAATGAGTAGACATCTCAATCAATGCCTTTATTTTACAACTTGAAAATACACCCTTTTTTAAAAGGCTTAACACACTTTTATCCATCTTGTGCAACCCAGAGTTCAAAACATGTACTTCAATACTTAGTAAGGGTCAATCCTGCACTCCTCTCGGACAAAATTGGTGGCATTATCAGCTCAGCTTTACATTTTCCAGACTTCAAATTGCCATTTGGTGCTGTGTTATGGCCAAAGAAAATTAATTTCTTCATCAGAATGGTTTTTTTTTTGACGGTGCTTCAACACGCATCCTGCATGTCACTGACAGGCAGTTCCCGAAGGAAAGGATTACCTCACAGAGTTGAACAACGTCTTGAGAAATATTCTCCTTTATCTGACCGAAGTTTATGGTTTGCAGCTGTGCCTCAGAAAGAAAGCCCCATTTCTGTAGCATTGTCTTGATTTCACTTCGTGGGATTTTTAGTACAGTTCTTCGGATATACTCAGCAACAGTTTCATCCATGACGAAGCCACCTGAAAAGCTGAAACGTTAACGAAGTTAAGACCAAGGCACAGGCGAACTCAGGAGATTTGCTCCCTTAGCGCAAAGCCGCACCTAGGCACGACTAGCAGAACATTGGCATCGGTCCTAAGCGCCGCACTACCACGCATTTCGACAGACACCAACGACAGCGAGTTAAAACGCTTCCTACGATAATTTTTCCCCAAGGCCTCAGGAGTTTTCCTCGCTGACCGAGTCCTAGCGCGAGCTTCTAGAGAGGGATGGAGCACCGGC